GAAGGACATTGTGCTTTTTATTTATTATGGGGTTCAGCTGACCCTGTCATAAATGAGAACTGACTCAGTTAAGAGCCTAGGGATTATACTGGACCCAGCATGGCTGTTGGAGAAACAAGTTAATGCAGCTGCAAAACCCTTGCTTCGAACTCAGTCTAGCCCAAAAGATTACCCCCTACCTTGATACAGCTGATCTGTGGCCATCTAGATCCATGCCACAGTAACAATGAGACTAGACTACTGTAACGCACTCTACATAGGTTTCCTCATGAAGTCAACTTGGAGACTCTAGCTGGTACAGAATGCCACATTATCATGCATATTACTCCCCTTCTGCAATCACTCTATTAGCAGCCCATAAGTTACCAGACTCAGTTCAAGGTATTGACTATCACAAACAAAGCCCTTCAGGGCCTTGATCCCTCGTATCTGCAAGACCACCTCTTGCCCATGCTCTGCTACAACGACTTCACTCATCAGATCACGGTGTCATGCAGGTGCCACCCTGCAAATGGGCAAAATCAACAATTGCCCATATACATGGACTGATTTCACACAAGAGCTGCGCCACAGTCGTGCCTCCCTTTGCCCCGCTTCTATTGGTCAATTTCCCACTCGAAGCCACGCGGCCGCATTTTGACCCGCGGCTTCACCCAATTTTCCCCGCGGTTTCGTGATCCTGTTTTTTGAGGATCACGAAACTGTGGGGAAAATCAAACAAAGCTGCGGGTCAAAATGCAGCTGCAAGGCTTCGAATGGGAAATTGACCAATAGAAGCGGGGCAAAGGGAGGCACAGCTCTTGTGTGAAATCGGTCATGCAGTCTGTTGTACCTGCCACCTTATGGAATGGCCAGCCTGATATAGTCAGGAGTGCTCACACTTTCCTGGCTTTCTGGAAGCTATGCAAAATTGAATTAGTAAACAGAGCCTTTTAAGCCAGGTAATTAGAGCTGTATTGTAATGACTGTCCCGGTCCAGAGGCCCCAGGACCTATTCCACATCCCCCAGGGTTCCCCCAAATGACGGACTCACCCAGAAAGCCACAAGACCAGACGTCAGGACCCTGACAACTCCCTTCACAATGACGGAGTGGCCCCACCAGCTCTGCTAGAGAAGCACGACATCCCAGGTGGACCTGGTCACGAAGCCAGGAACCCCGGGGTACCCCAGTCGCAGGAGGAGCTGGTGACCAGCACACAGGCCCAAAATACCCTGCACACGACTGGCAGCAGCATGGCCCCCGGTCCAACAGAGCCGCCGCCGGCCAGCTCCAACCACACCTAGGAAGCTGGGACAGCGTCCAAGCTTATCAAGGAGGGCGGGGCTGGGAGGTGGGAGAAGGTGGGAAAGGAGGGCGGTGCTGGGAGCAGCAATAAGAATAAAAGACGAGGAGAGTGGAGGGGCCGGGGAGGAGGAACATGCAGAGGAATGAAGGTGAGGACAGCGAGAGAGGAAAGCTGAGCCAACGTGAACCCTGGCACAACAGCAGAGGGACCTACGAAGTGCTGTCAACCTCATCCCCTGCCTATCTGAGGCCCCAACACTTTCCTCACCTTTAACACCTCGGCTCCCAGGACCACCAACCCTGCCTCAACGGAACTCACCACGGCTACAGGCGGCGTGGCACCGGGTGCGCAGAGCGATCTTGACAGTGACATATTTCAGAAAGGTGCTTTGGTAAAAGGACAGGGACTGTGGACTATACTACTGTGCATAGTATACACTGTCTGTTGATGTAACTATGATCCTACTATGTAATTTATGCATTGTTTAACAAGTCATGATATTGCTTATGCTTTGTTTCAGCCCAGTTTTCACATTTTTGCAATAGGGAGACTATAACTAACGTAAAATACTAAGGCCAGTTCCAACATTCAGCACCATCTCCATACAATCTTCTTTGGTTTCCACATACTGGTTTGTCTAGCTTGCCTATAATTTATTTACTTACAAAATTTATATCCCACTTCTCCAGAAAAACTCAGGTTCTTGAAATTTCATGGACGAAGTATGGGTGACCAGAAAGTTGACACATACACAGACTATGTCAATTTGTACAATCGAAATGCTAACAGTTTTATCAACTGCAGTTGCAGCAATCTCTGCAAGCACAGATAAGAATGTACACAATGGACTTCTGAGTCACACAAACTTAAGTACCTCCTCTATAAGCAACAAAGCTCTGAATACTAATGTGAACATCAGGGAAAGGCCTTGGCCTCTTTACCCTGTTTTTTAGTCCTGCAGGACAACAGCTTGGTTACTATGATACAAGATTTTCGACTAGGTGGACTGATTCACTAGGTCTGATTCATTAGGGCTCTTTTTATGTTCTTATGTAACCTACTGGATATATGTTTCCCCTAACAACCTAGTACTGCTGGTAGAGTGAATGCACATGCTGAATCTGTTTCTCCATTCAGGTAAGATTACCTGGGACTGGGAAGAAAAAAACGCAGCAGTTTGCACAATCTGCATGGCAAGTCAAAGAACATCTTGCAGAGGTCTGCTGAGTTCTAAACCAGCCCTAATTTCTTCTGTATGCTTAATTTATATGGTAACATTTTAAAAAACTAGAATAGATGACACATGTTATCTTCTGCATAAAAGCTTAGTCATACATGTTACAATGAAGAGAGCAACCTGGCCACTGAAGGTGGTCACTATATGTGCTTAGACCATATTACATTCTTTGACAACTCATTCCCACTTATATACAAAGCAGTGGGTATATGCACTGAAAGGACAGGAAGCAAAGTGAACATTAAATAAAGAATCTTAAAAATCATTTTTCTTTTTTTTTACCATCAAATATTCAAAGAGCGTCTTAAGAGAAAATTATTTTTAATCAATCTGTTCCCAAACCACCATCACAAGTATGTACAGAATTATACCCTATTGCACTATTTGGTGAATTTCATGATAATGTGAAAAAAGATTTTTGAATTTCTAGATTAGGGCATTTTAAAAGATTCTTACCTCATTAACACAATTTCCCCAATTACAAGTGTCCAAATAATTTTGGATCCTATATGTCTTTGTTTGGGATCAACATGGCAACTGTGCTTAAAACAAGGAAGACTTTGTAATTTCTGAATATTTTTATGTTTACATTATTCAGCATGGGGAATAAAGTTGTATCATGACTACAAAGTGACTTTCCAATATCAACAGAGCTCAGAACACTTTTCATTGCAATTCTTCATAATTATTTGCTTTGATTGGCTAATATGCTTCCACTCTGTCACTGCAATTACTTCTACCGTTATGGTTGGTAGCTTTTGAATTAGCCAGCTAATTAATCTAAATCTACTTCTGTTAAAGTGATTCTGTTGCCTACAGGGCTGTTCTATCTTAAAATCTATATATCAGTATATATATGTGTGTGTGTGTGTGTGTGTATAGTGTATATACTTGCCAAAACAAAATAACTGTTTTGTTGCTCTTTGTTTCCGATGCGCTTAAACGAGGAATTGATGAATCGCATCTTCACACTGAGGGCTCCCTATGGAGTTTGTGATGATGCGCACACTGAGAAGGGGGGAAAAACAATGGCATGGAGTTGGGATGGCCTGATCAGACCATCCTGATGCCATGAGAGTACGCTGGAGTGATCAGACACGGGAAACTCTGTCTGTGGCCCATTGCAACCCGTTTACTACCAGATTTTCCCTGGTGTCTTTTTACTCCGCTTCTGTGGTGGAGCAAAACAGGTTGCCGATGGGTGCGGGGCGCTTCCCAGATGTTTGTGTCTGATTGCACCCTTTAAATCCGCCCGGTATTCGCGCCTCTGTCGAGTCCAATTGTGTGTGTGATCGTAGCCCCTGTTTCATCCATGGGAAGTCAACCTCTTAAGGATTATCCATTAGATAGTGTTCTGCAAAATTTTAAACACACCCTACTAGAGGTAACTTGTTCTTGCACATTACTCACCAGGTAAATATAGAAGAAACATCTTGGTTTGGCACTATCTCTACTGCTTCCAGCACATTATCACCATTAGATTGCTCTGTTTGTCAAACTCTAATTTATCAGGATAAAAATCTTTTAGCTGCCTAGTTTATTGCATCTAAAAATATCCCTACCAATACTATGGAAACACTTTAGACAAGAGGGAATTGTGTGTGTGTGTGTGTGTGTACACACATCTGGAAGGTTTTTTCTCATCTGTATTTGTTGCATGGCATAGTATTTTTGAAAAGAAAATTAATAAAAAGATATCCAAGAAAAAAAGAAAACTCAGTGGATATTTGCTGCTAACAAGACCAATACAGAATATGGTTTATAATTGCTTTAAAATGGTGTAATTGAAGAACCTTGCTGCTTCTATTTTTGTGTGAGAGAGAGATGTAAACACAGATGAAGTTCATTTCCAGGATGACTATTGCACTGTGTCTTCTATGATTCATCTGTCCACAAAATTTGTTACTCTTGAAAGTGCCATCAGACTTCACTAACAACACCCCACACTTCTGCTAGTCTGCCTTCTCTTCTTGAACTGGTTTTTCTACATAGGCAAATAAAAGACTGGGAGGGAAGGTGGCATGGTGTGGCCCAGGGGTGGCCAAAGTTGCTTTACATAGCAGGCACACAGAATAAATGTCAGATGTTTGAGAGCCGCAAGACATGAACAAATATTACACACATTTTTATTGGAAAACATGCAAATTTGCTTTTTATGAACATTAGACTGTGTGAAAGAGCCGCATGTGGCTCCTGAGCTGCAGTTTGGCCACCCCTGGTGTAGCCCAATCACATCAGATCCCAGAAGCTAAGAAATGTTGGTACTTGGATGGGAGACCATCAAGGAAGGCAGTGGCAAACAACTTCTGCTTCTCACTTGCCTTGGAAGCCCCTTGCTAGGGTTGCCATAAATCAGGGGTACATATGTAGGCAAGCAACAACCCATTTAACTACTTCATACATATTTCAACTACTTGCTGGACATTTTGCTAGTAATCTATACAAAATGTATTAAATTTAGAAAATATCTTCTTACCTTTGCATTTTCAATACAAGGACAGATAGCCCAGGCTGCACTTGCCTGAACATCTGGATGAGGATTTTTCAACAAAGACCACAACAAGCGAACACCATCCAAGCGATCAATTATTCTATCAAAGGAACACATCAAGTGTAGCAATTTAAAAAACATTCAAAATATGTATTCTGTACATTAGGTAACAATGTTGCAAGACTTGTTTGTGATTTTTTAATCGGTTCATCAACAGTGGCATGTTAGGTTATAGTAATTTTTTTTCAGCAGAACATGCCAAAATTCTCCATAAATGGATTATTGTACAAACATGATTGAGAACAAGATATACCTTCTCACTGAGTCTTATGAGTCTTGTTGTACAATTTCCCCCCACAGCACTTTGCCTAAAAAAAATCATTTCGTTAAAAAAAATTAAAAATAAAAAAGACATTATATAGTTGGGGCTCTTGTAAATTTAAAAAACAAGCCATGTGACTTTTTAACGAGCTGCATGCAAAATCAAACCAAAATTCAAACATACTGGTTTCTTTCATATAGTAACAAATACTTTCCAAAACAAATATTTATGCCAAAAAACTATGTACTTAACTCTATATTGAGTCTATGTTTAATTTATTTACCTTGCTGTATGACATATTTTAAATTTCAATGTTGCTAACCTAACATTCAGAATTAAAATGGGTCACACCACAGTGCACTCTTTGTTAGGTACGAATAACGTGTAGCTTGTTTCTCATGCGCTCCCTACCGACAAGGCTAACACTGAATACCGTGTTATAATTGCTTAAACATACTGTAATCAAAGTATCTCCATGTCTAGCTGAAAAATGAATTATCATCAGAGTCATCTTTAAACCATCTGTCTTATGTTTATATATCAATCAGTCTAGGGGATCATAACTTTATATTAAAGTCCACTGAGTACTTTAAAATGGAGAGGAAGACCAAACAAAACTTAATATCCTTTACAAACATGGCTTTGTTGGGGAAGATATGCAAAATTCAAAGCAGATGAAATGAAGATAAAGAAAATCAGCCATACTTTGATTTTATAACCTCAAATGTTTAATTCTACACAGTTTGTCCACATCTTTAATTGTGAATCTCTTATTTTCGAAATGAAATAAAACACAGATTTTACTCATGTAAAAAAATCAAGCAAGAACATCTAATTCCTGTTCATTATGTAAAATGAGTTTGCCAGGAATGAAAAGTAAGTAGAAAATCAGCCCTGTACGTAATCATACAATTATTTTGATGCAGACAGAATGATTTAGGACACAAACTCTTTGTTTAAAGTAACCACGGCTTTATATAAATTGATGCAACCTGGTTATATAATTTTGCTTTCCAACATGCAGGTATTGTAGAGAGGAGCAAGGATAGCCTGAAATGTTAAATAAGGCAGGCAGATTTACACTGCCAATATAAATTATGCCAACAACAAAAAATAGTATGACGGAAAGCAGGAAATCAGATTTCATACCAAGAAGCTGTAATAAAACAAGGACGGGGCACACAGCTAGATATAAAAGTAGTATGTAAGTCATGGTTCTGCATGAGGGAAGAAAAAGGGTATAAACAGTTTAAAAATCTAATCCACCACTATAGTGTATTCTATACTGAATACGCTCAGAACCACTATAATGGTATTTCATGATATTTTCATTTTTATTGCTTAAGCACCACTGTTAAAAGTATGCAGGGTGACTGAATGTCTCGCTGCTTCTCCCACCAGTCTTGAGAGGTAGACCGTTCATATTCTCGGGAAACTGAACTCTGCCACAAACAAGCAATTTGATTAAAGGCATCCAGTGAATCATAAATGATTTGGGATTCAACACCTGCTTCACAGACCAAAAATCAACAGTGTTCCATATTAGCTCACACGAAAAGATAACATTTGGCATTCTAGACTGACAGTGCAATTCCTAAACAAGTTTATATGATATCTTCCAACCTAGTGCACTTTCCTGCAAAATATACATTAAAATACCACTGTTATGGATGTTGCAACATCCATAACAGTGGTATTTTCAATCTTGATTTTGTTTTCCCATCCTCATTACTGGTCTCACTTCTTCTGCACTTGGATTACCCTGCTGACTACACACCCCTGCACTGACTCAGACCAGTGAGAAATACCAAATCCTTCCACAGGCATTGCATCTCAGACTGTTGCATCTAAAAAAGTAGGCTCTAGTTCAGCATAGTTTACACTGGAACAAAATCGTGTTAGTCTTTAAGGTACCATTACACTTCTGTTCCATTCTTGCTGCAACAGACTTAACAGTGCCATCCTAAGCAGATGCTGCACCACAGCTACCTCTTTGGAATTCAAATCTTCAGTCAAATCATTTCAAACATGACTGGTTTCTTAATCCTGTCTTTTGTTTATCCCTTATTATTGTCCCCATCTTGCCTTTCTTCCTGCAGTTCCATCTTGCCTGTCTGTAAAAAGTTGATCCTGCAACTAAGAGCTACCTTTGTCCCAACTCAAAAAAGTCCAGGCATCAAGATATAATTTATTCCCTTGCTGTAGAGCCTGGAACTTTGCCTCTGGGTTATACTCTTCATATGAGATGGCCATAAACAAAGCGAGACGATAACATTGCAGGTGAGCCTAATAGCTAATAAAATGACTAGGATTCAGCCCTTTCCAATGCTTAAAACAGAGCAGAAGGATGGATAGGATGCCAACAGATCAGGATTTAAGCAACTATCATCGGGTAAGGATTTCCCTTTTCCTCTTCATAAGCAAGGCAGGGAACAATTATCCCAGTCCAAAAACCCCAGGGATCACCAAGCCTAAAGTTCTCTTGTTAAGATCCTTGTTTGAGCAATGAGTTCCAGGGTAGAAACTACAGCCCATGAGGCCACTGTGCAAATTTTTTAAAGAAGGGCCTTCTCCAAGAAAACTGCAGGTGCAACCGCAATTCCATGGTGGAAATAGATATAAACAATTAATCAAGTGAGTTAAACGTTCTCTGGAAATTCTAGAGAAGGTGTATGTGAGGACAGTGCATTCCTCTAAACTAGAAGAAAAGAGTGGATGTAGAAAACTTTTTTCCCCTCAAGTGAAGCAAGGGGAAAGAATAAGGTAGCAGGAAGATTTAATGAAATCTTAGTAGAATTAGGGCCAGTTCACATGGCTACCACAAGGGTTTTGGATCGCACGTTCCCTTCTGATCTGCTTTACTTGTTCGTACTGCCCTTTTCTCTGGAAAGCTGGATGTGCTTCCAACATATTGTTTTTTTGGACTGCCTGATCCAGCATGTTTACCTCGAGTTCCTGAGATGACATTCTACAGAGACTATAAGTTTGTCTTGAGATATATTCTTGGAACTAGCTCTGGCTGAGTCCCACCTGACAGGGTATGGCTCCAAAGCCACTTTAACAGCTTCCTAAAATATGCACAGAAGCCTTTTTTGGTCACACTGCTCAACTGATTACTTGTATAATATTGGAATATATTTGCATAGCCCTTGATTGTTGTTTTGAGCCACTGCCTGCCTAACCAAGAAATCATTAATATGTGTGCTCATTTTAAAGATCTCCTGGATTGCCAGGGCTGTATTTGTTTTATTGCCAAGATAAAAGTTCTAAATGAAGTCTCTCTTTCGGCATGTTACAAGCCTTAACCTACAGCAAACCACTTTTGTGCACTAATAATTTGATATTGAATATTTCCAGGGTAAACAAGCACCAGACTTACTCAGAGGCACATGCATACACCCTCAACATCTGTTTCTTATATTTATCATCCTTTTTGTTACGCCACAATATGCCAGGACTCTTGAGAAGTCTGACTGCATCTCCTGCCAACTGAGACCACATACACAAATGTAAACAGTGTTATACTGACTATATAGATTGTGCTCCCTGGTAAGATTACAGGTTTCCAGTCTTGCAGAGCACCATCTCATCTTTTTGAAAACCACAATTCAGCTCTTGCAAACTTAGAAAATTGTTACAAACTCCTTTGATAAATACTATTATAAATCAGAGACTCGAATTCCATCTGGTTGGGTGTTTTTTTTTAAAAAAAAATCCTGCCTATTTTAGTGCATTAATCTTTACACTGAAAAGCTAGATTTGAAGTTAAACATAAAACAGGGGATAAAACAATGTTGCGCTTACCTATAACCATTGTTCATTGAGTATCTTCTGTGCAAGCACACATGGGGACTGCACATGAGGAGGCCTGCCATCCGATAGTTCTTTACAGCTAAAAGCCTCCAGGGGTCACTGCGCACCAGAGTCAGAAGCTTGCTCCTGCCCAGGGATCACATGCTCCTGCGCAGCAGCGCCTGCACCCTCAATATCTCTAGCACTGCTGAAGCCAGAGCATGCAGCTGGGCAGGAGGGAGGGTATGTGTGCCTGCACAGGAGATACTCAATGAACAACAGTTACAGGTAAGTGTAACTTTGTTTTCATCATCGATCTTCTGTGCAGTCCCACATGGAGATTCTAGTCAGCTACTCACCAAGCAGTGGGACATGCTCTCCTCACTTGAACAGTGAATGAAGAACTGCCTTGCCCACTTGAGCCTCACATCTCGCTTGCAGATCCAAAGTGTAATGACATACAAACATGTCTGCCAATGACCAGGTAGCAGCTCAGCAGCTCTCCATCAAAGCCACTCCATCCAGGAAAGCTGTGGAAGAAGCTATTGCCCTAGTGGAATGGGCATGGATGTTCAATGGGCATGGCAATCTGGCCATATCATATCCCTAATGATCCTGACAATCCATTGGGACAGGATCTGAGATGATACTATCCCACCTCTCTTAGGGCCACTAAAAAAATCTTGAGATAAAATAATAATGCCCTCCTAACATCTAAAGAATGAAATGAGCACTCATTCTCAGAGCTCGGTGCAGGAAAAAGATATGGGCAAAACAATATGTTGGGATAAATGGAACCTCGAAACCACCTTAGGAAGAAACCTAAGACTAGGGAAAAGAATTACCCTTTCAGGAAAGAGCTTCAAAAACAGGGAATTTATCTGAAGAGCTGCTAGCTCATTCACCCTCCTGGCTGAGGTAACAACTACTAAGAAACACACCTTCATAGAAAGTTCTGCCAAAGAACAGGTAGCAAGGGGTTTAAA